TCTTCCATCAACTCAATAATTATTTTCTCATTCTACTAACTAATTGGGGAACTACAGCGTTGCTACTTATACTTTCAGTCTAAGTAATGCATGAAAGGATTGTGTACCTTTAGATTGACATCGTACACATTGGACACAAGCACCTTTTTGGTTTGTTTGATTACAATTGTTTGTCAATCAGTAATTCATCCAATAAATGTACAAAAATTATCAACTAATTACTACATGTGGACCCTTTGGTAGTTAATACATTTCGATTTACCAAAAATACATCTACAGTTTATAAGATAATTGTAAGTATTATTGCGTGGTTCAATTGTACCGGGAACTGAAATCATTTACAAAACGTGCAGATTTTCACACGATTTGGATTTACTATCTCGCGCCCAAACTTTGCCTAACAAGTTTCGAACTTTCAAGCTTGCCGAAGTTCTCGTCCCTCTACTTTTCTTCGGAGAATTTTGAGCGCTTCCGACCGGCGAGTCGGCGGCAGATCCGGGAGATCTGTTTCTGGTCAGGTTTCTTTTTGATGTGCTTCGCTTCTTGAAAATGTCTCGCGTTTTTTCGGGATTTTCTAACTTGAGACGTATCTGAGTTAGAATCCCGACTAGAAGCTCGTCGACGTTGTGATTTATTCCGACGGATGTTTCGATATACTTGCAGTCGTACGCTGTCGCCATCATCTTCCCTTCTGAAATGATCGTTATTACTACTAGTACATTCTGTTATTATAAAATAGTGTTTGATTTCAAAAAATGTGTTGTTCCAATATAGTATATTATATATTTTTTCACGTTCGTAAAATAAAGTACAACATTTTCCATCAATTTGCGTTCATAAAGGATGTATTTGTTTCTTCCGCTAGTAGCGTGAAAAAAAGTGCCGTAGCGGTTCATTTTTTAACGCATTTGAGTGAAAAAAAGTAACGTAACGTGTCATTTTTTAATGCAAACTATTTAGACAAGAAACATACGAGGCCGCCGTTGCTATGATACTCCCTGACATTTGTTAATAATTACAAGTACGTATTAAGTTCATCTCGCTGTGTTTTGCGTAATTTGTGTGCTTGAATGATGGAAATGGACAGTGATGCGAGTTTTTCATACAGCTTGCTCTCATTTTTGGAATCGGGTGCCCTCCGTCGTGAAGAACTATACAAGATTACTGTGGATGATATTAACGATAATAATCTCATAATATAATAATCCCAATAATCTTCACTGCGCATATGATGATATTCTTAAAGAGGTTGACGAATCTGTCAGTGTCACTCATTTAATAGATGTAAATACAGCATCAGCTTCCAAGATTCAAATTGTTAATCCCACTAATTGCACATTTAATATTAATATTTATAAATACAACCCATCAGTGTTTTGTTATTCTTATGCTTTAATTTTTTTAGGTACGAACGTGAAAAAAGTTTTGTATGCAATTCGTGAGTAAAGTATATTTTTTTACTCGGCGGATTTGCGCACTCGCGGGCACTCGCCTTCGGCTCGAGCGGCAAATCTTCCTTCTCGTGAAAAAAAGATATACTTTACTCACTTGTTGCATAAATAACTATTTTTATTATACCTGAATCACAATCTCCGTTTTAAACACTCAAATGCGTGCGAAAAAAAGGCCTTTTTCTACTCCTATGTCGTAAACATACCCAAAATGTCACCCTGTACTGCACGTCTAAATCGTTCATTATATCATACGGTTGCATAATGAAAATTAGAACTGTTACTTAATATACAGGGTGTTACACGACCGTTCGAAAAAAAAAAAATCGGGTTGTAGAGGGCATCTTTTTCCAAATAAACCGAGGGTCCAACGTGTTTCGTTTGGGAGCCACCCCCCCAAAGAGTGTTGAAATCTGCATTTCTTCTTTAATTTTTTTCTCAGCAACCATAAGAGTTACAAAGTCGGGTGGCATGTCTTTGAATAGGTTTTTGGATATGCTCTTTCCGATTTTGCAATTTTTTTTTCAAAATTCCTACCCCTAAAGGGCGCACCCCTAAACTAGGGTGCAAAAAAAAATTCTGATTTCGACGAAATTTGGTATCTGGGGTTTTTTAAACATGAAAATCACGAATCTGAAATTAGTTTTTGAAAATTCGAAAAAAAAAGTTCCACTGCAATTCTTGGCGGGACAACGAAAATAGAGATAATTCCACGAAATTTGTTGTGTACATACTAAACGAGTTAAGGAACAAAACTGTCGAACAGTTTTTTTAAAATAACTTTTCAAACAAAAGTTATACTCATTTGAATGTTGGTCCTTCGGGTCGCGAAGTGTCCCAAGCCTACTAGTAAGCCATAATTTCGCATGTGTTGGTTGACAATGTCGCAAAAACAAAAGATTAACGGTTTGAGTCGATATTTTGTTATTTGGAATTAATTCGGTCATTAAATGATTAAAAAATTCGATGTATCGATTAAAACACCTACCAAGGTATCTTAAAGCGCTGATCGATTGTTTATTATCTAAATAAGGTAGGGGAAAAGTTTTATTCAGTTGAAGATAATCTTAAAGGTCACGGTTCATTTTTTCTAGAAAACATTTGGCAGTTCTGAAAAGAACTTTTTTTGTTTTTAGTGATCAGTAACGGACTTCACTTCTTCCAAAAATGAAGCGATATGCTTATGCAACATTTTCAAAAATGCCACCGCCAGCAGCCACGCACAATCTGCATCTCCTTGGAACAGAATTTGACGACTTCAACACCATCATAGGATTGGTTTTAATAACTTCTGAAGCTGCCATCACGCGAGCAACCAGTTCTTCCACCGAATCGATTATTCCATTTTCGCTATTACACTAAATTTTTCAGGTGCCCCCACAAAAAAAAATCTAGTGGCGTAAGGTCGGGCGATCTCGGTGGCCACGCTACTGGACCACCTCTTCCGATCCAACGATTGGGGAAAGTAGCGTTCAAGTGATCTTTTGTTTTTGCGACATTGTCAACCAACACATGCGAAATTATGGCTTACTAGTAGGCTTGGGACACTTCGCGACCCGAAGGACCAACATTCAAATGAGTATAACTTTTGTTTGAAAAGTTATTTTAAAAAACTGTTCGACAGTTTTGTTCCTTAACTCGTTTAGTATGTACACAACAAATTTCGTGGAATTATCTCTATTTTCGTTGTCCCGCCAAGAATTGCAGTGGAACTTTTTTTTTCGAATTTTCAAAAACTAATTTCAGATTCGTGATTTTCATGTTAAAAAACCCCCAGATACCAAATTTCGTCGAAATCAGAATTTTTTTTTGCACCCTAGTTTAGGGGTGCACCCTTTAGGGGTAGGAATTTTGAAAAAAAATTGCAAAATCGGAAAGAGCATACCCAAAAACCTATTCAAAGACATGCCACCCGACTTTGTAACTCTTATGGTTGCTGAGAAAAAAATTAAAGAAGAAATGCAGATTTCAACACTCTTTGGGGGGGTGGCTCCCAAAC